GAAACTCGTCGGATCGTTTGGTGTTCTAGTCACTTTCGTCAGCATAAACCTCTCTAAGTTAATTGCTGCCTTTAGGTTTTGACTGAGACCGCTTTGAGTCGGACGTAGGAATGGAAAAGTTTGTGGACATCAGGTGTTGCTGTAGTGGACTCCGGCCTGATGACTTTGTAGGTCTCCGTTGGCAGTCGAGACGGGCTACGAGATGCGTCCCAGCGTCCGTAGCTCGACGCGCTGAGACCTAGAGGAAGTGGTGTAGCCTACACCATGTAGGTCCTCGTCAGCACTTTTCGTGCCTTAAGGAGTCACGGATGCGGCCGGGCAGTGGTAACTGGAGAAAAGCTGGACGATGCGTGAGTTGATGAGATTCCTGAGTCACCCGAGTGACATTCGGTGCGATAACTTCCATAAGGTACACAACTGAAAGCCTCTATCTGGTTCAGAAAGGCCTCCGACATATCTAGGCTCACATGGACATTGACAAAGCGTTTGGAGTAAATCAGTCACAGACTCCCAGAAAATAACTCCCTTGTGATCAGGTCTCGGTCGCCAGGTCCGACCATGCCTGATCTCTTTACACGCTCCTGTTTACGGTATATAAGTCTTACTCTCCATTTGGTAACTCTTCTGCTTCAGGTTGGCATCGATCCCGTCACTGAAAAGGTTGAAGGACATTTCTAAGGTCGCACATGGCTGATTCTTCTGCCGGACTTTCTTCATGCTTTTGAGGAGAATGTTCCAAGTTTATCTGATCAGTTCTTGTTTGTCAGTCTCACTGATTCAGTGATGATGTATGAGGAGACTGCGATATTTTCAGCTACGATTCCGATTTATTCGAGATCAATAGGCAGTCAAATTACATTGATCCCTCTGTGGCTTTGCTTAGTTCCGGCAGTGGATGGTCATGTCTAGCTGTTGGTGTATCATTTCGTTCAGTTGAGGTTTCGTTAGAGAGTAAGCTCAAGCAAGTGTACGAATTGGTATTGTATGAGGTGGCTCCACACATGAAGCAGTCTCGTCATCTCCTTTCTTTAAGTTTTTGTTCCAAATTGGTTGAACGACACATATTAGGAAAATAGGCCATATTTGTTGACTCAGTTAGTGTGACCAAACATGATCTATGACCCCAGGACCCAAGATAAGGTCCTGAGAGGAATCGGGCTCCGGTTCCCTGTGTTGGGTCGCCCCCCACACTGTGGACCCTCAGTGTGGCGCTCTCATTTCCAATCAACTGTTCATCCGATGACCAGATGTCGTTCCAAGTGATGGTACAAGTCTCGAGTAACGTTTTTCCCAACAGAGAATTTTCTCCGAGTGATATACCGCGCACGCAACAGAAAATTTGCGCAGATTTTCTGCCGCGCGCTGCTGTATAATATAGCCGTTTCGGCGGACGGAGATGTCGCATTTTTGTTCTAGGAAGCTCTTTGAGGAGGTTGCCTCGCATGTGGTGTCTCAAGAAGGTAGTTCGACACAGGTGTTTCAACGAAAGCCACAGAGCATGCTTTAGACTACACTAATACCAATTATGCTGATGTTGGTTTAGCCTGAGCAACAATCTTTTGCTTTGTTAGTTGACTCTAATTTTTGTCTTCTCCATGAAGGTCGTTTTCACCATCGCTGCTTTGTCTGTTGCCGTCGCCGAGTATTGTCAGGATATTTGTGATGGTTATTCTCCCTGTGCTGACTCCAAGTATGGCTCCTACTGCAAGGGCAACGGTGTCTGCTTCGGACTCTACCATAAGGATGATGGTTACTGCTTCCAGCCGACCGAACAAGACACCTGTGATGACTACACGTTGGAGCCGGTGGCTTGTCCCGAACCCACACCCACCTGTCAGGACGTCTGCAATGATATGTCTCAGTGCCGCGACTCCAAGTGGGGATCGTATTGCAAGACTTGGCAGAATCCGGCGGTTTGTTTCGGTATCATCAAGAAAGATGATGGTTCTCTTTGCTTTGCCCCCACTGATAGTGACTGCCAAGGTGAACCCTACTATTGTTAGCCTAGTTTAGTATTCCTTAGCATCAACTATGTTGGTCGA